CGTTTATAAATAAACCTTTGCAACTTTGCTTTACCAATCTGTTTTCAGGTGCATTATGAATCCTGAAAGTTTTTTTTAAAAAAAAATAATATATAAACAAAATTAAAGCAGTACAATAATAATATTTGCCAAATATCTTTTATCGTATTCCTAGTCTGGGTACCCGCGGTTTGAAAGTGAACATAAAAGGCGCAAAATCATTCTGTCGCAGCGCCACGGAGTTATCTGTATATTTGTTGAGTTATTAGCTTCACATTGTGACAAGAAAAAACTCGAGTGCATAATTATAATGATATTTCAGTAATTATTAATAATATCAAGGAAAAAAAGCTATCAAAATATTATCGAACCATGAGATTTTTTTTTAAAACAAAAAAGACAATTGTTGCGATCCAACCCAAGAAATCGTACAAAAAAAAATGAATGAATAAAGAACCCCAGTTAACAAAATAATAATAATAATAAAATTAAAAGTTTCGCAGCAGGTAGGGATGTGACGATTGACTCAGAGTAACCGATTTTAAATTCAGCATACCGATTTTAAGAATCGAACCGAAACTAGCCCAAAAGAGTCGGCTCAAAATCGTATCGTCATCAATTATATGTTGATAAGTCAAAAAAATCTTCAACATCACATGATCTATTTGTATAAATTCAACTTGGCGCACCTTTAATATTTATTATAAAAATATAATAACGATAATATTTTGATTAATTTTAATTATTAATTAATCATGTGATTTGATAAGCCAATAGAATTTAACAATAGGCCTGATTGACGAAATTGTGTAACTCTCGATTTAACGGATTTTGCGATCAAAAACCTGACTAATAATTTTTTTTTTGCACATGATTTCGGGGAACTAAAATTTATTGGAACTTCGTTCCTGTTTACAATAACCAAATTCAATAGATTTCCTCGTGGTCATACATTTATTTTGGAAATGTATTGAATGTAGACACAAAAAAAAAAAATTTAAAATAACTTTTCAATTTGTTCCCTATCCCCACAGTTATGAACGAAGTGTTCGAAAATAAATTTTATCTTTATCTTCTTTTTAACCCAAACTCATGTCATCAGTGAGATAGGAAGAGAGCTCGAGGAACTAATGGTTACTATTTTGGAGAATGTTGAGAACGGTGAGTATTTCACTGAGATTTTGTCGAGTCGTTGTATATCCGAAGTTACGCTGCTACTAGGTTTAAAAAGTCTGGGAAATGAAAGCTCTTCGTGGCCACGGTTTCAGCCGTGAACGGTTCTTCCCTGTTTCCGAAATCCCGCAATCGGTACGGCCCTGGGGATTGTAGTGAATAGGAATACAAATCACTTCTACTTGATTTTTGATGATGATGACGCAGATTACTCATTTTTTTATTTTTATATTTTCATCCCAGCCACTTACCCCAAGTATTAACGAAGTGACCGAAATTTTTAACGAAAATTACCAAATCTCGTCATCATTGAGATAAGGAGAGAATTCGAACAACTTATTGTTGCATTTTGGAGAGTTTGAATGACAACAATCATTGTCGTGATGGCTCCCTCTAAAGATAAAGATAGATTTACACGTGATGCATTGATGATTCTCACTGATAGTGTAGATTTGTATTCACATTTATCATTAGTCGCTGGTCGACTTAGATTTTAAATTTTATCTATCGTTATGTACTTTTTATTTTGTAAATATTTTTGTACTATCTTCTATTTTCTATGTAATATAATCTATCCCTGGATACTATTTTTTTTCATTTCATTCATAATGTTGTAATTCAACTATCGATGCCACGTGACTACTTTATATTTGAGTTAGAATTAATCCGTGACGTTGTGAATTCCACAAAAAAAAAAAAAAAAAAAAAACCTGGGTACCCATTTCCGCAAATCGCGCCAAAAATTTTATTTTGATTGTTCATGATATAGAGAGCATTGAATCTTCGAATTTTTTTTTATATGATATATTTAGACCGCGGAAGTAAGTAAATTTAAAATATTATATAAATGCCCCAGCTTCGTAACATTGATTCATAATTCAAGAAAGGTTACAAAACTTTTTCAGTTGGTGAAATTTGACAGTCAATAAATCAAACTTTAATTTCCAATGTATACATGTTAAAAATAATAAACCCGATGTGTAAAACACACTAAATTTAGTGACATACCCAATTTTATTACATCATCATCATGTGAGCAGCACTTCTCAGAAACATGTTTTGTTTTATATTTCCGAATTCATTTTTCTTAATAGAAATGCTTTATTAGAAATAGTGTAAAAATATTACAAAGTATTATTGCATTATATATGACTAACTTTAACAATCTATTTTAACCCATTTTAACCCACTTATAAGGATAATGATAAAAGCTATCAAAGTCAAAGTTTTACTATCAATTTTTTTGTGGTCTTTCTCTTTCTCTTTCTCTCCCTTTTCCTCTTTTTGGTGTTGGTGATTCTAGTTCAGAAGATCTTTTGTTGCTGATTCTTTGGTTTTGCTTGATGATGCTGATGACACTGATTGCATTGATAATATTGCTGATAGTGCTAATGACCCTAATTATATTAATGATCTTACTGATTATACCGATAAACCTGATGGTCTTAATGAGACTGATGGCCTTGATAGGACTGACATTTCACTCAAGTCAATACTCAAAATATATTGCTTAATTTGTTGTTCAATCTAAGGTAACAATTTTTAGATATTATTTTCTTTGGTAGTAACAAATTTCTACTTTTAATAATGATCATATAATTGTATTAGTATAATAAAATAAAAGTAAATGTCACCTTTCTTTGCTAATTTATCATAAAGTTTATCTATTCTAATTGAATGCAAGATAGACATATTATTTATAAAAGAATGTTAAAGTACAATTAATAAATTAATAGAAAATTTCTAATTTCTGACTGCTTGGTAAATGATTGATATAAGTCTTTATTTTAAAATTCTAAATAATATTTAAAATTATCTTCTTTTCATAATACTTAGCAAGCAATTTACTTAAAATAGCAACCCAGAATTAATCATTTATATCTGTTAATAAGCTTACCTCAATATCTCTTTTTCAATATATTTTGTTTAAATTTCTCAGTCACTAATTTATCTAAATAATTTGATGCAAAATAATACATTTGCTATATATAAAGAATTTCTTAATTTGTCTATTAATATTATTATTTATATTTTGTTTTTTTCCTTAGTAGAGAGTTTGTTTAAAAATAAATTAAAACATAACTTATTTTTATATCGGCTAATATAATTAAATATTTTTTCATCATATTATATATTTTAATTGTATTTATTTGTTAAATATTATTATCATTTTTCTTTAAAATAAACTTAATGATCCTTTTTATATAAAAAATAACTTATCAACCTTTTTTATATTAGCATCAAGATACATTTTATCTTTACATATATAGATTTTATTCAAACTTTATTTTAAGTATTATTATAAAAGAATACTTATCAAAGTTTAGATAATAAGACTTTTTGAGTGAATAAATAGAATTATTTTAGCTTTAATTTTCTTTAATTCTATTCTATTTATGATGTACTAAACATCTTTTTTGAATTTTTATGAATTGGTAATAGTCTTATCATAAGTAAGAAAAATTGATTCTTTATCAAAAATGTATAAATATTTTCTAGCATATAGTTTAGATTTGAGTCAAAAAAATTAATTTAAATTAAAGTTAAGTTAGCAAAATTTTAACTTTAAGAGACTTGAGTTGAAATTTGACTTAAAAACTCAAGTTAAACTTGATAATACAGGCAGAAAAGTATAATACAAACTAAAAATTTTATGATAATTTGGGATTAAACTAAAAGAAATTTTTTTAAAAAATTTTTATTTAATAATTATATAATAAATGTTAATTATATTATGCTAATAAATGCAGTTTAAAAAATTATATGCTATTTATAAAGTATAGCATAAATTTGAAATTGACTTAACTTGTTAATTTAAAATTTTGATTTGAATCAAAAAATTTTAACTTAAAATAAAATTTATTTGAGTTAATTTAAGTTAAATAAATATAAGTCTAATCTCTATTTTAGTAATACTTTTATATAAAATAGTTATTTTTTATAAAGGATGAAATAAATATTACATAATTTTTTCATGAAACTTTATTACATTAATTGTATATAAAAATTAATTAATTAAAGCTAATTATAGTAATTTATAATACTTTTTTAATCAAAAATAAAGTTACTTTTATTAAAACTATGATTGATTTTATTTATTTTAGTTTAGATTTTTTAAAAATTTTCAGAAATTTGCAATTTTTTATAAAAAATGAATTTTGCAAAAAGATTACTTTAGAATAAAGAGATGCAATTTTTGCATGACAAAACTTTGTATTATGCAAAAAATTGTTAAAGTATTTTCAAATAAAAGTTTCTTAAATTTTAAAAAATAAATAAATTATTAATAAATAATTAAGATATTTCCAAATAATGACTATAAAAATAGAAAAAGACTGTTCTTAATAATAAATATTCTAAACACTAAAATTTAAAATAAGATTATTAGCATTTTTAAAATAAAATAAAGGTAAGAAAGTATTTAAGCAAATATCTAAAAAACATTAAGAATAGAAGGTATTATTTTTTTTACAAATAAAATTAAAAGATATATTTTTACAGAATAGCATAAAAATTAAACAATAACTAACTGAAGAAAAATAGTTTAATTAGATAAATCTATTTTTTTTTAGTTTTAAATCTTAAGTTATGATTGAATTTGATGAAAATCTAATAAAGAATTTAATGAGAATTATTTTATCTTAAATGTAAAATATAATTCTAAATGAATATTTTAAAGCTATTTTTCTTAGTTTAATCTCAGATTTATACTACTATTAGAAAGTATTCAATCAGTAAAAAAAAAATTAAAAAATTTATTTATTTAAAATTTTAAGTGTAAATTTTTAAATAAATAAAATTATCAATATTTAAGAGATGTCTAATTCTTTTTTTTATAATTTACCTAAGTGTAAGATTATTATAGAATTTGATCTTTTGAATCTTTTAGCATTTGATCTATTATTAGAATTAGCATATTGTGCAATTATATCTGTAACAATACTTTTTTGAAAACTTTACAATACTTGCAATAGTCTCATAAGTCCTTCTTACTAATAATAAACTGATAATTTATCTGTATTTAAAGTTACTTCATTTGCGATTTTTTCTCATATTAAATGGCATAATTTTAAAAAAGTAAAATTAAAGCAGTTTTATATTTTTGTTTATTAAATCTGATTTATACATTATTATACAAATATAATTATATACATCTTATCATTAAACTAGAGGAATTATTTAAAATAAAATTTTATTTAATTTATATATCTGATCTTGAAAAATTTAAATAAAGCTTAACCAGATACTTTTCTGAGAATAGTGTATTATTCTAATAATTAGTTCTATTTCTGATAAAACTTATTGTAAAATTCTTAAAACTTATACTATATTAATCCTTAAAGAATAATTATAAAAAGTTAAAAAAAGCTTATTTTCTAAGAAAATAATATATCAATGTATATAACAAAAATAGCATAAGATTTTTTTTATTTAAGTAAAATAGAAGGTTTATTATGATCACTCTAAAGTTTTAACTTTAATTCTATTGAAAAACTTTAGTCAATGTTAAGTTTAAACTTTGAAAATATAAACTTGAAATATTTAACATCAAAGAGTTAAAAAAATGGTTATCAAAGAATAAAAGTTGATTATCAAAAAAATATCAAAATCTTATTAATTTAATGCTTTTTTAAATTTATGATTATTTTTACTAAAAGAAGTTATATTAAATATTAAATATATTATATGAATTATAAATACCTGCCAAAACTCCTTTTAAAATAATTTTGTCATACCCTTTTTATGTTTTTAATATAGTTTTTACAGTTTTGGTTTTTGATATATTAAAATAGTTTTGACATATCCTTTATTATGATTTTAATATAGTTTCGTCTAAGTTTTGAATATTATTAAGAGTTTAGTTTCTCATTATTAATATGAATTCATTATAACAAATAAATATAAATAAACATTAAATAAAAATTATTTAATATTTATTTTACCCTTGTGTTACATAAACAGATATAGTAGATTAAATAACATTTATCGAAATTGGATTTTCTTGGAGTTCAACAATTTCAGGATTTGATAAATGTAACGTATTACAAAAAAATAGCTGAAATACTGAAATTGTATATATATATATAAACCTTCGTTGATAGAATTTTTTTACTGGCATTGAAAGATTTGTGCTCAACGTAAGACCCGTCTCGTCTGTATAGCTAATAATGTGAATACAATTTCATAACATGTCTAGATCATTTTAAAGTTGAAGCAAGACGTCCAAACATTATAACAACTTTTCGGATAAAATTGGCAACTGGTTGTTAATGTGAAGTTGAAGTGGATTTTATTACGAAATATAAATACTTTTTTATACCTGATATTAATTTAATGTTTTTAATTATGTTATTTTTTTTTTATTTCGGATTGATATTTTATTGAATTCATTTATTTTAATAATTTTTATTTTTATTTTAATTGATTTTATTAATTTTTTAATTCTACCTAAACAAAAAAAATTGCGAATAACCGCGCGAATTTTTTTTTTATAATCACGGGTTCAATATTTATTTTTTTTTTTTACTATTTTTTAATTTACATAAATGTACTTAGATAATCCAGTTTGTGTTTTTTTTTTTTTTTTGGAAATTAAAAAACCTACGCTCAAAGTCCTTGGAATAGGGATTGGAATCGATTTTTAGAATCGATTTAATCGCGATTATCTTTCTCAAGATTCGACTTTAAGATTCGATTTTCGATTTTCGATTTTCGATCCATTGAGTTTTGTGATTGAGAACACCCTAAATAGATTAAATTCGAAAAATAAAAAAAAATAGGAGATATACTGTATACAGTATATTAAAAACAATAGAAATCTAAAGTAATGTTAGCAAAGATTGTGACGAATCATATCCTAAAAGCACCCGGATTTGAGTTTTATATTTTGGGCGTCAGACGACGCAACACTTCGAGGCAATATAAAAGTCACATACTCACACAAAGGACAAATCCAGGTTTGCTAACAATATATGTAAATAAATACATATTACTTCACCAATTTGGGCGTAGGTTTTTAATTTCCAAAAAATACCACAAACTGGAGTATCTAAAGTACATTTAAAATAATAGAAATCTAAAGAAATGTTAGCAAAGATCGTGACGAATCCGAATCATATTCTAAAAGCGCACCGGATTTGAGTTTTACATTAGGCGAGACAATATAAAGGCACATACTCACACAAAGGACAAACCCAATAACTGGATTTGAGTTTTGTTTTAGGCGTTGACCGTAACATTTCGAGGCAGTATGAACCGTTATATCCCGCACAAAGGACAAATCCAGGTTTGCTAACAATATATGAAAATAAATTCATATCACTTCACCAAGTTGGGCGTAGGTTTTTAATTTCCAAAAAAAAAACCACAAACTGGAGTATCTAAAGTACATTTAAAAATAATAGAAATCTAAAGTAATGTTAGCAAAGATCGTGACGAAATCTGAATCATATTCTAAAAGCACCCCAGAATTGAGTTTTACATTAGGTGAGGCAATATAAAAGTCACAAAGGACAAATCCAGGCTTGCTAACAATATATGTAAAACATATCTCATTACCAAGAAAACTGGACTAGATATATTTCTACTATTTATTCTATATTAGGAACTTTTCATTTGGAGGAAAAAGGACTTTCTTTCGAAAAAACTCGGTTATTAAAAAAATAAAAGATGTGGTGAATATATAGGAAAGTATTAATTATTCATTAAATATTTAACCTTTTATTTTAAAATAATATAAAATACAATAAAAATAAATATCAGTTTTCCAGTTGACTCTTTAAAAATTAAAGTTCCATGTAATTTTAGTTCAAACTCTCGATAACGAAAATGTCCCATTTGGATTCATACTCTTGAGTAATAAATTCATAATATTTTTTGACATTTCCGCTATTTTATAATCTATTATATTGTTAACTGTTTTGTTTTTCGATAAAAAAGAGCTCATCCACGTAATCTAAAATCTCATTCATGATTATACATCACGTAAATTTTAGAATGATATTTGAGACTTAACATAAATCGCTCTTTTGTCACTCGCGCAAACGTGAAACCCATTAGTAAGAGCATTCTTAATATTTTCTTTGTAGCTTTGTCACGATTTGAATTGTAATGCCATGTTGCTGATATTACATTTCTCCCTAGAGTATAGTAGAGTTCTCCTTAACAACCATTAGTAACGCTTCCAATAAATCGAAAAATATTTTCCATTTGAATTTATCCTTAAAAGGAATTTAAAATTGTTTGAGAAGAAACATATCAAAAAAAATTTCTTTTTATAATTCAAAATATAATACTTATCTTTGATCTAGAACGATCCCACCTCACAGTTTAATTATATATATATTCGCAAATATTTTAAATATTATCAATAGAAAAACTACCAGGACTACATGTTCGATATACCAGTTGAAAATTATATGGAATATTTTTAATGTAAGCAGCAGTTTCATGCTTTTCATCTATC